CGTAAATTATTAAATAAAAATTTTATATTCAAAATAAATTAGTACATATACTTATAACACCCAAAATAAAATATTCTATCCTTTAGCGGTACCCTCTTGATGCTAAAATATTTTCCTCTTATATACGTCTCAGAAAGATATTCTAAAATGTAGAAGAGTATCGAATTACTATGAGTATACATTCTAAAATGTAGAAGAATATCGAATTACTATGAGTATTTATTCTTGATTATGGCGCATGGTCCACTTCTTTATAGATAAATACACGTTATAAATGAGGAATATGCTTTATTGCAAAATTAAAATTTTTTTGCTTAGAGGAAATGTTTAAAGAAATTTCCCGCTTATAAGTAAAACATTTTTTTTGAGTCAAGTATAGTAATGTTCAAAATAGTACATATATTGGTTTTATTTGACTAAAAAATTCAACATGATCTTTGTATGACCTCGCAGACTCTATCCAAAATCAAACTTTTATTACTGTTAGGCACATTTTTAAGATTCTATACTTTTGCCTATTTGCACATTTTTCGCTAGAGTTAATCGTTCTCGAGATATATATTTTAGACTTTTTCAGACTTATTCGGGAACCGATGTAAACCTAGCACCCAACTTTATAGAAAAAAAAAATTATTAGTGCAGCGCGTTTGTACTTCGTTTGTACTTGTTTGTACCGTTTGATATTTCGTTTGTACCTCAAAGGACAAAAAGAAAAGTTGAAAAAAAAAATGACCAGCGCCCAACTATAAGATTTTTAAATTTCGCTAATGCCATTTGAAAGAAAATCGTTTGTACTTTCTTATAAGATCTTTCAAATCGTTTGTACTTCAACCGGATCGGAAATACAGGTTTTTCAAAATACGCACAAGAGGTAGTTTCGACAATCTTTGAGATATTCGAAAGCGACAAGCGTCGTTCAAAAGAGCACGAGTAGCGCCCGTTTATACTACCTTTGAAATCGTTTGTACCTCAACCGGACCGGAAATACAGATTTTCCAAAATACGCACAAGAGGTAGTTTCGATAATCTTTGAGATATTCGAAAGCGACAAGCGTCGTTCGAAAGAGCACGAATAGCGCCCGTTTGTACCACCCTTCAAATCGTTTGTACCTCAACCGGACCGGAAATACAAATTTTTCAAAGTACGCACAAGAGGTAGTTTGGACAATCTTTGAGATATTCGAAAGCGACAAGCGTCGTTCGAAAGAGCACGAGTAGCGCCCGTT